GCCCCGGGGGTGTCTCAGCACTCAATTCACTGCCACCTCTCCTGGCCCCCCCTCCCCCATCAGTCTCTCCCCAGATTCCACTCGTCCGCACCTTCTCCCTCTCTTCAGCACAGGTGAGTGTCTGTATCTGAAATGTCTTATGAACAGGATTCAGTGAAAACAAACAAACGCCGGCCGCGGAAACGGGGAAGGCTTGGTTTCTGTAAGCTCTTCTCTTACCGGCACTGCATGGTCTGGTCAGCTCTTCAGGCTGCCCCCTTTAGGCTCAGTCCTCCGTGATCACAGAACCCAGCTCTCAAGTCCCCTGGCGCCAGGAATCCCGAGGATCTCCTTTCCCCAGTCAGGGGCTGTGCCTGTCCCAAGGGACGCGGCTGTCTGCCATGCAGTCTCCCTCCGACCCTCTGGGCTCAGAGGTCTGGCAAACTTTCCTGCCAAAATCCCTGGTTTTTTTTTTTTACCTTTCCAGGGGAGTTATGCCCTTCCTGGCTGCAAACCGTCTCACCAGCTGAGTAATTTCGCCATTTCGGGGTGGGTGTTATTAGTTTCAGCTGCTCACTCCATTTGCTCCGGGACACGACCTGGGAGGGGTCTGCCTATATCGCCGCCATCTTCGGACTCGAATTTTATGTAATTTTCATGTGTTATAAAATATATATTTTTTTAACCATTAGAAAGTGTAAAAACCACTCAGCTGGTTTGTGGGCTTTATAAAAACAGGCTGGAGCCCTAGCCAGTTTGGCTCAATGGATAGAGCATTGGCCTACGGACTGAAGGGTCCCAGGTTCAATTCCTGTCAAGGGTACACACCTCGGTTGCAGGCTCCTCCCTGGCCCGAGCCCTGGTTGAGGCTTGTGCAGTAGGCAATCAATTGATGTGTTTCTCTCAGATTGATATTTCTCTCTGTCTTTCCCTTTCTCTTCCACTCTCTGAAAATAGGCTGGATTTGACCTTAGGCCGTAGTTTTTGCTGACTTTGTATCTAGATTAGCATTTATTTTACTTAGTACTGGATACTTGGTAGTTATTCTTATAATGTCTTAATGTGATACTGTCTTCCATTTTTAATTATTGAGAAGTTAGCTGTCAGTCTAATTATCCTTTCTTTTTAGGTAATGTGGTGATAAGTTTTTCTTTGGTTGTATTTTATTTATTTTTTAATATATTTAAAAAATATATTTTATTGATTTTTTACAGAGAGGAAGGGAGAGGGATAGAGAGCTAGAAACAGCTATGAGAGAGAAACATTGATCAGCTGCTTCCTGAACATCCCCTACTGGGTATGTGCCCGCAACCAAGGTACATGCCCCTGACTGGAATCGAACCTGGGACCCTTCAGTCCGCAGGCCGATGCTCCATCCTCTGAGCCAAACCGGTTAGGGCTATTTTTTTTAAATATTTTTGTTGACTTTTAGAGAGAGGGGAAGGGAGAGGGAGAAAGAGAAACACTGATATGAGAGCAGAACATTGATTGACTATCTCCTGCACGCCCCCTACCAGGGATTGAGCCTGAAACTTGGGCATGTGCTGTGATTAGGAATCCAACCTGCAACCTTTCAGTGCATGGGATGATGCCAAATCAGCTGAGCTACACCTGCCAGTGCTTCTTAGTTGCTTTTAAGAACTTCTTATTGTCTTTGGTGCAGGTCCCTGTGATATATCTAAATGTCGCTTTATTTTCATTTAACCTGGTCAGGATTGATTGAGGATCCAGAATCTGAAGATTCGTGTCTCATTACCTATGGAAATTTTCAGCCATTATTTTTGCTCATATCATATATCATATCATATAAAACATAGGAGGTGGGAAAATCCATTTGAAGGTTTTTTGCAGTTATAATGTAAGATATTATCTATTATATTATTTACTACAATGTGTTACTTAAAAAGAACTCCCTCTTAGTATTGAGTGCTAGACAATTTCTGTGTAGATGACCTCATAAGCTTCCTTTTAAAATTTTTAAAATTTTTATAGGCAAAAGCTTTTAATAGAACTTAGTTATGTAAAGTACTGTGCACTCTAAAAGATATAGAAAACTAGAGTTTCAAGTCTTTATTTAAAAAAGCCATTAAGCTTCATTGAAAAACCAAGTGTAGAGTACAAGACTGCAACAAGGGCTATGGCAATTCCATGGCATCTAGACCCCAAGTCTTTCATGCTGTCGGTCAGTGGATATCACACTGATCTGCTGTGTGGACACAGGCACGTCTAGCCTAGGAGTGAGGTGGGGAGTTGCATCTGGGTTCTGTTGTCAGTTCATTATTCTTGAACTGGAACAGGCCAAGAAGTAGCCAGCATGAAGGATTAAGTTGGAATGCGCCTCTCCCCTCCCATACCTCCAACCTTCAACTTCTGGTTGTTGGTTCTTCCTAGGATCTGTGTTGAGTTCTTGTAAGTTTACTGTTAAATGCTGTCCATGATAGGGCCTTAGAGCTTGGTCTAATGGTGGTGATTTCTGTAGTCCTCTCATGTACTGCCACTCTCATTTCACTGAGTGCTGCAAGTGACCCTTTTCTCACCATCTCTGATCTACCCTTCATGGACATCTCACTGGCCAGTTACTTGAAATATTCTGGAAGATCAGCATATTCATTTCCATAGATGACCTTAATCCCTTTGTCCAGCCTGTTTTCTTGAAGCTTCTTGAACTTATCTACATCTCCTTTTCAAACCAGTATGAAATGTTCTAAGTCAGATTTATGCTTGACATCCTCCAGCAAAAAGGGCTTAGAAAGTGATATCACCCATAGTCCAGTCACAATCCAGGAAAAGAAATGACTTGTTTTCATAGAGTTTCTGAGTTTCTTGTAACTTCATTGTCCCTGAGCACATTCTGATACACTGCTCGTTAAAGGACAGTGCCACTGGGGTTGGTATAACATGCTCAGCTTCCAATTCTCTTGAGTCCATTCTAGAGCCTTTTTTGCACCAGTAAGGTCAAGGATTCAAGTTGTTTTCTCTGGTCTGCTGCATACAGTTCCAGGAGATTGTCAAAATTTGTAGTCAATACCAGTGCTCCACTTTTCATCAGGTGGAAAATTGACTGAAGTATCTGTTTTCCAGAGTCTTCCATCTTTGACTCCAAGCCATTGAATACTTCATGTAAACAGTTCTTGAAAAACGTGGATTGAACATTATACTATATGAGGAGAGTCTCTGAATAGGTCATGGGCAACATGAACAGATTTTTGTCTCCATGGAGACATTTCTGAAATTTTTTGCTCTCAGTTTCTAGAAGATCAAGATGAATGGCAGCATCAGCAGGCCTGAATTAACTCCTTCCAGGATTTTAGGGCTGGAACCTGAGTTGCACTTGCAGCACTAATGCTTGTTCCAATCATCAGCACAAGTTCCCAAGGCTTCTTACTTTTTAAGCTTGGAAGCAGCTTCCTGTGCTTTTTGGTGGGGTGCGCCATCTCTGAAAAAAAAAAAAAAAATGAGAGGCCCGGTGCATGAAATTTGTGTGTGGGGTGAGGAGTTCTCTCAGCCTGGCCTACACCTTCAATCGGGACCCCTCGGGGATGTCCGACTGCCTTTTGTAATCCGGGACCGCTGGCTCCTAACTGGTCACCTGCCTGCCTGCCTGCCTGATTGCCCCTAACCACCTCTCCCTGCCTCATGACCCCTAACCACCTCTGTCTGTCTGACTGATCACCCCTAACTGCTCCCCTACTGGCCTGATTGCCCCTAACTGCTCTCCTGCTGGCCTGATTGCCCCTAACCGCCTCTGCCTCATCCTGCTCCTGGGACCCAGGATTCCCTCCTCTGGCTGGTTGCAGGCACCCAGGACCTGGGCTTCTCTCCCTCTGGCCAGCTGCAGGTACCCAGGACCCGGGCCGGCTTCCCCCGGGCTGGCTGCAGTCGCAGGGGACTGTGGGCGGGTGGCTTCACCTGGACCGCAGCCACAGACACCCGGGACCACGGAGCGGGTGGCTTGTCCCTCTCTCGGGCCACAGCTGCAGGCGCTGGTGCCTGGGACCACAGGGCGGGTGGCTTGACCCTCTCCTGGGCCGTAACTGCAGGTGCTGGTGCCCGGGACCACTGGGCAGATGGCTTATCCCTCTCCCAGGCTGCAGGTGCAGATGCAGCACTGGCACCTGGGACCGTGGGGATTGTGGGGCATGCGGATTGTCCCTCTCCCAGGCTGCAGGTGTAGGCACAGCTGCTGGCACCTGGGACCATGTGGCGGGTGGCTTGTCCCTCTCTCAGGCTGCAAGCACAGGCGTAGCCGCTGGTGCCTGGGACCGCGGGGCAGGTGGCTTGTCCCTCTCCCGGGCTGTAGACTGGCTGGTACCCATTCTTCTCTTGTGAGCTCATTTGTGCCTGGCTGGTCCCCATTCCTCTCTCAGGAGCTCATTTGTGCCTGGCTGGTCCCCATTCCTCTCTTGCGAGCTCATTTGTGCCTGGCTGATCCCCATTCCTCTCTCCCCAGTGTTGAGTGTCTGAGCCCTTATGGCATGATGGAGTGAGGGCGTGACAACCATTTGCATATTAGCTCTTTATTATATAGGATATCAGAAGTCTGGCTCCCTGTAGAAGCCATTCATCCAGTCTTGTGCAAAAATGAAAATTTCCTTGTCATTGCTTTCCCTCCTATGAAGCTTCTGAGAAGGTATATTTATATCCGCTCCAAATGCTGCTGCTCTAACTCATAAGCTCTCTTTTATTTAAGTTATCACTTTTTTGGTTTGGTTGCTGAGAAGTATAGCATTACGTATAATATTAATATGTAGTGTCTAAGAACTTAGTACATTTATTTGTGCACATTTTATCCTGTATATAATTATACATGATAAATACACAAGTATTTTTATATTATCAATATGCATTTTACATTACTAATAGTTTGCTTGATCTTTGTTTTTTAAACTATGTTCAGAACAATCCTTTGTATCTGTATGCAGTTAATGGATTAATTGGAAAGCTACTGATTGTTATTTGAATGCTTCTTTAAGTTTGCAAGATTTAGGCTAGTGCTTTAACATAGACTTCTTTCATTTTAGAGAACTCAATTTCCTGCATCTGCTGAATCTCAAAAACCCCACCTGAAAAAAGGTCTGTATACAATTTTATTGTATATTTGCAGATTTCTCTTATTTCTTTTTTCTATATGAATTAGAGCTTCTTAAAATATGATTGTTGACAAAAGTACTATAATTGGGTTTTTCCATAGCGAGTTTTTATTTTATGGAATTGTTAGGTATTGGAAGGTTGATTTTACCTGTAACTGTGTTTAAATGGAGTTTTATTATATAACTAGAGGCCCGGTGCACAAAAATTTGTGCACTCGGCGGGGAGGGGGGTCCCTCAGCCCGGCCTGTGCCTTCTCGCAGTCCGGAACCCCTTGGGAGATAATGACCTGCTGGCTTAGGCCTGCTCCCGGGTGGCAGAGGGCAGGCCCAGTCCCTAGGTGTAGCCCCTGGTCGGGCTCAGAGCAGGGCCAATTGGGGAGTTGGGGCACCGCCCCCTGTCATGCACAGAGTAGGGCGGATCGGGAGGTTGCGATGCCACCCTCAGTCATGCTCAGGGTAGGGCTGATTGGGGGGTTGGGGTACCGCCCCCTGTCACACTCAAGGCAGGGTCGATGGGGAGGTTGCGGCGGCACCCCCTGTCACGCACAGAGCAGGGCCAATCGGGGTTGGGGCGCTGCCCCCTGTCATGCACAGAGCAGGGCCAATCAGGGGGTTGGGGCGCCTTCCCCTGTCACGAACAGAGCAGGGTGGATAGGGAGGTTGTGGCCCCGCCCCCTGTCACACAGAGCCGCAGGGCGATCAGGGGGTTTGGGCGCTGCCCCTTGTCATGCTGATCCCGGTGCCGGGAGGCCTCGTGGCTCCGCTGATCCTGGTGCTGGGAGGCATATTACCCTTTTACTATATAAAGTAGAGGCCTGGTGCACGGGTGGGTGCTGGCTGGTTTGCCCTGAAGGGTGTCCTGGATCAGGGTGGGGGTCCCCACTGGGGTGCCTGGCCAGCCTAGGTGAGGGGATGATGGCTGTTTGCAGCTGGTCACACATCCTTCAGGGTGGGGGTCCCCACTGGGGTGCCTGGCCAACCTGGGTGAGGGGATGATGGCTGTTTGCAGCTGGTCACACACCCTTCAGGGTGGGGGTCTCCACTGGGGTGCCTGGCCAATCTGGGTGAGGGGCTGAGGGCTGTTTTCAGGCTGGGGGTGACTGAAGCTCCCAACCGCTCCTTTTTTTCTTTTTTCTTCTTTTTTATTCTGGGCCAGCTTTAGCTCTGAGGCTTGGCTCCAGCTCTTAGGCCTCCACTGCTGAAAGTAGGTTTCTGGCCTTTGCTTACAATGCTGCGATCCTGCTGGCTGAAGCCCGGCGGACTAAAGCAGGTTTCTGGGGTTTTGTTTAGCTTCTATATTTGTTACATAGTTGCTTAGAGTTGCAGCTCAGAGGCCTGCAGCGGCAGGCGGGGAACGTTGGAGTCCTCCGTCACTGAAGCAAGCAAGCCTCATGTTAGTTTCAAGCTGCCTGGCTGCCGGCCGCCATCTTGGCTGGCAGTTAATTTGCATATTTCCCTGATTAGCCAATGGGAAGGGTAGCGGTCGTAAGCTAATTACCATGTTTCTCTTTTATTAGATAGGATGTGTACTAATTTCCCACTTGTGAAAAAACCACTCTAAAATTCCCATAAATACATATCAGGCCTCAATAATCTCATATATATGTTAAGTAAATGTTCAGTTTTACAAAAATTGAGTCTGGGAAGCCTAACTTGGTAAGGTCCTATACCAGTGGTTCTTAACCTTCCTAATGCCGTGACCCTTTAATACAGTTCCTTATGTTGTGGTGACCCCCAACCATAAAATTATTTTCATTGCTACTTCATAACTGTAATTTTGCTACTGTTATGAATTGTAATGTAAATATCTGATATACAGGATGTATTTTCATTGTTAGAAATTGAACATAATTAAAACAGTGATTAATCACAAAAACAATATGTAATTATATATGTGTTTTCCAGTGGTCTTAGGCGACCCCTGTGAAAGGGTCGTTCGACCCCCAAAGGGGTCGCGACCCACAGGTTGAGAACCGCTGACCTATACTGTAATGAAGTGCATTTTATAATCTGATAGGAATATGATACATATTTTATTTAGAGGAACAGGATATCTTCATTTGTTAACCTATAGCCTTAGGAGGGTTTGCATCCGGTTGTAGGTTACTACGTATATTGGATATTTTCCTATGCCTCAACTATTTATTTCACCAGGCTGTACTTCCTTTGCAACATGTGTTTTCCTATAGTCTGCTAAGAGTTTGAAAGTTAATTTATCATTAAATTGTTTAGTTTACTTGGGGCATTTCTGTTACTCTTTTTTTTTTTTTAAGTATATCATTAATCATTTTTTTAATATTTTTATTGATTTTTTACAGAGAGGAAGGGAGAGAGATAGAGAGTTAGAAACATCGATGAGAGAGAAACATCGATTAGCTGCCTCCTGCACATCTCCTACTGGGGATGTGCCCGCAACCCAGGTACATGCCCTTGACCGGAATCGAACCTGGGACCTTTCAGTCCGCAGGCTGACGCTCTACCCACTGAGCCAAACTGGTTTCGGCTCTGTTACTCTTTGAAATTATAATTTAAATTATTGGAAAATCTGATTGCTTTTCAGGAATTTATTTTCAAAGAGTTTTCCAGGATTATATCTTTCACTGAAAGAGCAGTACTTCTGTAATTTAGATTATTTGTTATATAGATGTAATTCTGCCAATCCTATATAATAAAAGGGTAATATGCAAATTGACCCTAATGGTGGAATGACCAGAATGACCGCTGGACCAGTCAGTATTAGGTGCACTGACCACCTCTTGGTCCCTTTCCCTGGCCGGAAGGCTCTGATTGCCTGATGGTGAACGGGGAACTGGGGGTGGGTGGCAGGGGACGCAGGCGACGTCAGGCCAAGGCCCCTTTCCTGCCAGTTGCCCCACACACAGAGGGTGACCTGCGGCAGGGGTGGGGCCAGCGAGCAGACATGATCGGCCGACCTCTTGGTCCCTTCCCTCGGCCGTCAGGCACCCGTCACCTGATGGCAAAAGGGGAACTGGGTGTGGGTGGTGGTGGGGGGCAGGGCTGGGGAAGATGGCCCTGATTGCAGGCCAGGCCTAGGGACCGTACCCACGCACGAATTTCGTGCGCCGGGCCTCTGGTATTTAACGTAATTGCTAATATTTTTATACTATTTCTGGGCATGAGAAATCATCTTCCTATGATATGTGTTACTTCATTTATTCACCAGGGTAATTTGGCTAGTTAAGTGGGGGTAGTGGGTATTGTGATTATCTCTCCATTGTTCTTTCCACACTTCCTCCAGAGTCAAACCCAGAGGTTTCGTTGATTCCCAGACTTAAGAGATCTGTAATTAGTATACACCAATTGAGAATTGGCCCATGCCCAATCCCGGTTAATAATATACAAAGTTTATAGGTATGAGGAAAACGGACACAAGCTATGCTATAAAATTTAATAGTGCTGTCCTGTACCTTCTAATCAGTTCTTTCTCCCTTCTTCACTACAGAGCAACTGCTTTCTTATTTCTGTTATTAAAGTTTAGAATTTCCTGTTCTTGAACCCCTCATAACTATGAGTACTTTTTAACAGATTCCAGGATCAGTGATAGGTGTTTGGAATACAAAGATTAATAGGGTATCAATTCTGCCCTCAGGGGATTGACAGTCTTCAGGGTATCCTATATAATAAAAGCTAATATGCTAAGTGTCCGATTGTTCATTTGACTGGTCGACCAGTCGCTATGACACGCACTGACCACCAGGGGGCAGACACTCCGACTGGTAGGTTAGCTTTCTGCTGTGGTCTGGCCAATCGGGACTGGGTGAGACAGGCCAGAAACATCCTGGAGCCCTCCCGTAGTCCCTCCCGGGTTGGTCAACCTCCTGTGGTCCCTCCCCGGCCAGCCGGTCCTGATTGGGACTGGGCGAGACGGGCCAGACACGCCCTGGACCAATCTGTGCACTGGGCCTCTAGAGCAGGGGTCCTCAAACTTTTTAAACAGGGGTCCAGTTCACTGTCCCTCAGACCATTGGAGCGCCAGACTATAGTTTAAAAAAAAACTATGAACAAATTCCTATGCACACTGCACATATCTTATTTTGAAGTAAAAAAACAAAATGGGAACAAATACAATATTTGTATTTGCATGTGGCCCGCGGGCCGTAGTTTGAGGACCCCTGTTCTAGAGTATAAGCAAATAATTAAAGTTCAGTATATACTTCCTAGATCCTTTCTTTTGAAGGTTAAACATTTACAGTTTTTTTCAACTCTTCACGTGAGATGTTTAGAACACTTCACTATTATTGCATTGGTTTTCTGGTGAAATGTGTTGGTACCCTAGGAAGTATAGAATTCAGGACTAAATAGAGTATTTATGGTGTGGTGCTGGAAGCCGGCCCATCCTTGCTGCTTGACACAGTCGCTGCAGGATAGAAACATCTGCACAGCATATGTTTCAAGGGACCTGGCGTATATAGCATACTGTTCTTAATATGTTTGCTCCCCTTAGCGCTGTGTGTTTTAACCAAGGTCACCTCTCCGAGAAAGGTTGTTTCCCCAGGTAGGGATTTTTCCCTGAAGTTAGGGAGGGGATGAAACTCCTTAACTAAGTGCCAGGCGGGTAGTTAATCACTTTAACTACAAACAATCACGCTTAAGCTACATAATCTTTACTCCCTGGAATGGAGATAAGAAACGCCCTAACCTTTGTAATAGAAATTGACAGGATTAAAATCAACTGGTATAAATACAGATGTAACAAGGCAATAAAACAGCAGAACCTCTCTGGAGATCCAGACCAGAACTTGGCTGGAGATCCTGGCTGGAGATCCTGGCTAGGCTGCTGATCAACTGAACACTGTCTCTGTGTCATTCCTTCTTCGACGACTCCATCCACACCTTTGGGGACCCCTGGACCTGCTGGGGTTGGACTCCGGCAGTGTGGTGTGAACAGGGCCATATGGAATGTCTGAAAGATAAAATCTCTTCATCTGCACCTTTTATTTATGTTAGCCCAGCTCAAGGTTG